TTTTTAAATGTGTCATACGGGGTGGGTGCAGTGGCTCACACCAGTATGTAACCCCAGAGCTTTGGGAGGCCAGGGTGACAGAGTGAAACTGTCTCAAAAAAATTTAAAAACTAAAAGGTGCCAAATACCATCAGCACTTAATAATTTGGGGCAACTTCAAACTGCGAACTTTGGAACACTGGCCTTATAACCACTTGATGTACTAGCTAAAATATAGATTCCTGAGCCCCATCCTAGATGTACTGAAGCTGAGTTTTGGGGCCCACATGGGTTCCAGAGACCTGAGTTTTACACCAACTTCCACACGATTCTTTTGTATAGAAAAACAAAAGATTTCAGAGCTATAGACTTTCAGTTTTTGGCTTTCTGGTCACTGTACTAATCATTAACACTGTGACCAGAGAGCAGAAAATATCATAAGAGTGAACAACCTAGTTTCTATGTTGTTGACTATGAACCTCCTTCATAAACTCTCACTTGATATTTCTGAGAATCAAAAAAAATGTTTCCTGGCCCTGGATGGACCCCAGATTCCCACAGCTAGTTCCCCTAGGCTCCTCCCTTAAAACACATTAAAAGTAAATGAACTTTTCCTGTGTGATCATTCATACACTGGTTTAATGCTGTGTCCATTTTGCCCTTTGTATATGATTTATTTATGTATTTGTTCTTAGTACTGTCTTAAGTAATATGCATTAAGACTTTTACAATGTATGTTTCATTAAAATAAATACTAACATTGAACACAGGAATTGAAGATATTCAGTCACACATTTAATAAATGCTTTTTGATGATGACAGAATTTTCTCATTTCTGTACTACTCATCATGTGGTAACTATAATTTGGAAAATAGCAGATGGGCACAATTACGATAACTCTGTAGATTTCAATAAGATGATTTTGCTCTCAAAGAGCAGCTTTTTCAAGTACCAGAGGAATGACAATGGAGTTGAGTCAACAGTAACTTGTGTGGCTTTGACCCTATCACTCATTTAGAAAATCAAAACTAAATGCCATACACTCTAACAGTAGATATGTTTTCTCAATTGATCTTAAACGTGTTAACTATATAAGAAATGTTCTTGGTTTTTGAAGTGAATTCCATAAAATTTGTGCTCCTCTAATAGACTTTTCCTTAATGAAGTCCATTTTCTATTAAGTGTTAAAATAAAATTTGTACTTTATACCATTGCATACTTCTGCATATTGATGAAGATTCACTCTTCTTAGATAAATCTTATGTTAAGTATTTCTTCATCTGGTATTTCATATAAAAATATTCAAATTTTGAAGAGTAGTAGGAATAAATTATTCAAAAAATAGGCAATAGGAAGATTATACATTGAATGGTTAGAAAGAACACACTAATGCTTTTTAAAAGTCCTTTCAGAAAGAAAAGATCCTGAAAAACTAAATAGGATGTAGGACAGCCAAGAGTCATTTATCATACCGAAAGTTTTGATCTCTTAAAATACTAATAGTCAAAATGCTTTTCATATTGGTGTTTTAAAGAATAACCCTAAACTGATTACCATTAATAAACATTAGAGTGACTTTAATCCTACTCTTTTGAAACTCAAAAAAGCAACTACTGCAGAAGAATAAGGAAGTCATTCAAAAATCTGTTAACTTCTTTTATTACAATGTAAACAGTAATTGCTATTTCATTTTAAATAATATTAAGAAAAGCATTGGTACAGGTTTATTATTATTTTTGTTTTAATTGCTATAAGCAAAAAGTGTTACATATACAGGGTAATTCATGTCAATTTCTGTATGGAAAATACAAATAACCGTAGGCGTTTATTACCTGGAAGCTCTCTAAAATTTAGAACATTATTACAGCTATACTTCAGCTGTAAAAGCAAATATGAAATATTTTCAACACTGTATAGAGGGACATGAGAAGCAGTAAAGACAGTCCATTCTTAAGCATATACAAGCATTTTATTCACTTTTGACTCTAGTAATTTGGGGGCCTCCTCCAGGTTACAGAGTCAAATATCAGGCCACTGAAGACAAGGCTAGAACAGAAAGTGTCAGGACATGGAGGGCATGTATGAGGACCATGAACATTAAGTTTGAGTGCAATCTCTGCATGCCAAAGTCAAATATAAATGGCTCATAGCTGTGTGTCTCCCCTGCATCAGCATAAATAATTGAGAACTGACTGCTATTTTAATTTAAATCATTCGAGCAGGCCTAACATTCTAAACCAGCAAAGCAAGTTACTAGTGAATCATGCTTTAATAAAAATTACACAACTGTGCTAAGGGTCCTTCTTATTCTATCTTCCAAGAGGAAGACCGCTTTCATACTATGTGGCTTTGAGAAGGTAATTTTACTTTTCTTCTAAGAAACAAAGATCTGGAAGGCTGACATTGTTTTCAGAAAAGTTAACAAGAAAAAAATAAACAACTCACATACAAAACAAAAACTAAGCAATAAGTTCCAACATAAACAATGGCTATTCTATTTTTTTTATACATTACAAAAGAACATACTAAAACCAGGCTGCGGTACTGCTGGATACTAGATGTGTCAAGTAAAATTTCATACTGGATAAGCATGACATTTTGGTGTTTTAGGAATATCAATAATTCCAAGGATCCATAAATAAAACAAAATAGCTTCTGTTAAAGAAAATCAGCTAGAAAAATGAAAAGAGGTATTTAAAGCAGAAGTTAAAACAGGAAAACTTAGAACCAAAATATTTATTTTTACTAAAAAGGCTTCTGTTCGTTTTTTTCCCTATTGAACAACATTAACTGATAGATGAGTTGTATTTGCATGGCCTTGAATTTATGTTCTTATTTTATCACCACCCTATGTGAGATAAAGCTTGTCAAGAAAGCATCAGACCTTTTGAGCAACTTACTTAAGGATCCTCTACTCTTAAAAGAAAGAGAGAGAGAGAGAGAGAGAGAGAGAGAACAAAGTAAATCTATTTTTTTGGATTGTTTGTTTGTTTGCTTTGAGTCAGAGTCTCACTCTGTTGCCCAGGCTGGAGTACAGTGGCATGATCGTGGCTTACCACAGCCTTGAACTCCTGGGCTTAGGCGATCCTTCTGTGTCAGCCTCCTGAGAAGTTAGGACTACAGGTGTGCACCACCATGCCTGGTTAACTTTTTGATTTTTTTAGTAGAGATGAGGTTTCACCATGTTGCCCAGGCTGGTCTTGAACTTCTAGGCTCAAGCAGTCCTCTTGCCTCCACCTACCAAAATGCTGGAATTACAGGTGTGAGTCACCATGCATGGCCCAGTAAATCTATTTTTTTAACTAGCACATGCAGTCTTCATTTTGTCATGATTAGTATGATGAAGTGAGGCAACTGAATACGGTAACAGCAGATCAGCTTTTCTAAGGCCAAGTCCAATGTTCAAGTTCTTCCATAACTATCACAGAATTTCACTTCAATCCCTCCCTTTTTTCCCTGCCACCCATTTCCAAACACATGAGGAACATAAAGCCCATAAGAAGTTGTAACTCGGCCAGGCTCAGTGGCTCAGCCTGTAATCCTAGTACTTGGGAGGCCAAGGTGAGTGGACTGCCTGAGCCCATAGGTTCAAGACCAGCCTGGGCAACTTGGCGAGACATGGTCTCTGCAATAAAATAAAAAACTAGCCAGGCATGGTAGCGCACACCTGTAGTTCTGGCTACTTGGAAGGCTGGGGCGGAAGGATCAGGATCGCTGGAGCCTAGCAGTTGACACTGGGGTGGCCATTAGCATGCCACGGTACTCCAGCCTGGGCAACGGAATGAAACTTAAAAAAAAGAAGTTAAACTTGCCTGAGATTACCAAGCCTAACAATGGCAGAGCTAGGTCTAAAAGCCAAAGTACCTGTAGCACTTTTTATATAGCGCTTCTCCCAATCCTGTCCCAATTAAAAAAAAAAAAAAATGTTTTAAGGTCCAAAGTCCTTATCTTTTATTCTAAATTTATTATCTATGGTTGCTAATCATACAAGAAAGGGTACACTAAATACAGTGTGCAGATATTTTTAATGGCAGAACTATGCCTACTATGAGATGGTTTGGTTTGCAATGAATGCCCTTAAGCTCTCAGAGGAATATGCAACAACTGCATGGATACAGGGTAATTATTTTTTATCTTCGCTTCTGTTTAAAGCCAGTGACACTGATAAAAATACAAGAGGGCAGCCGGGCTCAGTGGCTCAACCTGTAATCCCACGTCTTTGGGAGGCTGAGGTGAGTGGATTGCCGCAGCAGGCCGCGGGTTTGAGACCCGCCTGGGCAGCGAGACCTCATCTCTACAATAAATCAAAAAATCAGCCAGGTGTGGTAGTGCATGCCTGTAATTCCGGCTACTTGAAAGGCTGAGGCGGAAGGATTGCCGGAGCCCAGCAGTCTGGGCGACAGAGTGAGACTCTAACTCAAAAAAAAAAAAAAAAAAAAATACAAGAGGGCAAACATATCAATCACATTTTCTGCAGCCTTTCGGGACAAATGGATCTCATGTTTCAGAGGCTGATGTTGAAGATACTCCTGGTCTAAGAAACAGAGGTTGCATTTAGCCCCATGTTGGTTGTCTAGCAGCTCTGGACTGCAAGCTGTCTTAAGGGACTGCTCTTCAAAATAAATCGGTATGGAGTACCCAAACTTCCTCTTTCAATTACAAAAGTCCAACTCCACTGCTTTATAAGATAGTTTTTCCTGGAAAACTACTTAATCTGGTGAAATAAGATAAACTCTCAACCACTTTATAAAAGATATCCTTACACATTACCAAGCTATTATAAAATGTGGATATATGCTGTGTATCTTTCAAGAAACAACACATCAGTATAATAAGGATGCTATAAAAATGGACATGAGGACCTTAACCCAAACCAATCAACCAAATATGCCATCAGAAAAAAAAAGGAATGGTGTATGTATATGTTTAGGGGTGAGTATTTCCAAAGAAAACAATGAACTGAAAATTATGAATTTATACATATGCAAGTTATCTCTACATCATGTATTAGTGAGCCTACCTGCATATATTATCCTGGCCAGAAGGGACTGCACCCACATTGGCCACATTTACAACCTTCTGAAGAATCACAGAGGGAGTGAAATTCTGTGGTGCAGCAATGATGACAGCAGAAGTTTCATTCATTCCTGTTAGCATTCCTGTAAAAGCAAAAGAAGATTCCTTCTTACTAATTTCTTTATGAAAACCACATTTAAACAACGTTAAGCTTATGGCCAAAATTTAAACGCTTTTTTTTTTTTTTTTAAACAAAAAGAATTTCATTTTAGAATGTAAGTTACAAGAGAATTATCATTAAATTAAAACAAACTGAAATTGTTTCAAAATCCCCATTTTGTAGGAAAATGTGTGAAAATACTGTAAAACAAAATCACCCTTAATAAATTTCATTTGAAGTATTATAAGACAAAAAGCTGTGAATCACAAACATAAAATTCCAATTTCGGTCCCTATAAAATATACTAAATCCAGGCTCAATGTAAACTTAATATTAAGCCTTTACTTTTTAAGAATATATAAATGTATTTATTATCTCTATTCCTTCAAAGACTGCTCATTGTCAAATGCTGCCAAAGAACAAATCAAGGTAATTCTGGTATAACCAGCAGCATTACCTGATGAATAGACTCAGGATGACAGATTGAAGTTATCTCAACAATGCCTGGAAGTCACTGAAAATGTGTAAGTATCTAAAAGCTACACTTTCATCTCTACAATAAATAAAAAAATTAGCTGGGCGTGGTAGCGCGCACCTGTAGTTCCAGTTACTTGGAAGGCTGAGGCGGAAGGATTGCCAGAGCCCAGCAGGTCGAGGCTGCGGTGACCAGGGGTGGCCACTGTACTCCAGTCTGGGTGACGGAGTGAGACTCCAACTCAAAAAAAAAAAAAAAAAAAAAGCTACACTTTACGATAACAGCATTTGCCTAGTGAATGGAAATACAGTTGCTGACAAAAACACTAATCAAAATTTCTGAAGCAAAAGTTTAAAAGCAAAGGAAAAAATGTGAATGCAAAATTTTAAGTTTCAGAGACATTTCAAATAATATTTAGAAAATAAACTAAGTTAAGCAAAACCATGAATAAAAACCATACAAAGTTAATGTAAGACATGCCATTAATACCAGAATCTTACATAAAAATGTCCAGTGAACCAATTCAACACCATACTAAACATTTGGATAAATACTGAAATTTAGTAGCCGGGTTAAAAATCAAAATAATTACAACAAATGCCATCTACTTGGATGTGTGATATAAGTGTCCATGACGGTACCTAGTAAAACCAATAACACTTTGAGACATTTGACATGTGCACAGTTTACAAAATTTATGAAAATAGTAGAATTTCATGTTCTTAAAAGTTCTGTACTTTCAAGTCTATATAGTTAATTTATTACAAATGCAACCTAAAATTTTAAAAAGTTCCTGTGATTAGCGGTATGAAGATACTAAAGCCTAACACTGTAAAAAGACTTATGCCATCAGATAGAAAACAGAATCATCTAGCTTCTAACAAGGAGCAATTTTTACTAACCACTTTTAAACTCTGGGAACACTATGTTCTGTCTTAGCCCGTTTAACTTCAATATTAGGCAAAAGCTTTAAAAACTACACAAGCAGTCAAACACAGCTTTTAAGTAAAGCACAGCGGCTGACATAACACTGCTGAGAGATGTGTGTACTCATTTAGGATTTAAACCTTCTCCATTAAGCTCTATTGAAGAGCAACTGCTGAATAAATGAATGCAACTATGTTTATGTTAAAAGCCTGTTTCCCGCAGCATGTAATTAAAGGAAATGTTGTACAAAGCCAGTACTTTTGTCAAGCTCCTGTAAATGGAAAGATGGATAGCACTCAGAGAAGTGAATGCATTGCTTCATATTTAACCTTAACACTCTTGTCATTAATGGTTTGTCTAACTTGTTCTATAAAAGACAAGGTACTGCTCCAGTGAAGTAAAATTAAAAAAATCAACTAAACCATGCTTTTCAGAACAGAAGATTCATTATCGTCAGCTAATGTATTGGCATAAAGCAAAGTAACATCCTATCAAGTAAGGCACACATTCAATCTGCCTTCCCACCCCCCTTTATTTTTAACTCATGCTGTTTTATTGTTATAGGCAATTTGTACCACTCAGCATGACAGTGTAAACTGAATCAAGATTAATTTACATGCAAAAGAACACTTAGGAGAGCAGCATGGTAAGCAAATGTATTGTCTCGATTGCTGAGGTGGAAAAAGAACCTGGAAAGAAAAAAAGGTGCTCTAATTAAGGGGCATCAAATATGATTGCTTGTGGTAGTTAAAGGCCAGAAAATAGTAAATGTCTGACCATTTAAAGAATTAGCATCTTGCTAGCTAGGAAGCCATAAGATGGATGCATAAATCATAGTAAAATTAAACATTTTAGGTCTCTTAAAGCAGAGATTTTTCTAAATGAAAATATATCAGGTATTCCCAAATTAACAAGAAAAATATACCAAGGTATCATTAAAAGTTTCTCAAAAAAACCCCACAAAAACCAGATTTTAAAATACTGTATAGCCTTTTCATTCATAATAAAGGTAAAATTACTGGGGAAATATTTAAAAACTGTCAGACTAAAGAATCTCTGGCTTCATTTAGAATCTAGCTAAATTTTGGTGAGAGTGGTGAACAGTGTGCACTTTAGGTTAGTCAGCTGGAATTAACTGCTAAAAGGCAAATCAAATAACATTTAAAAATAAAATTAAAAACATCTCCTAAGTTTTAGATTTGCAGATAATTCACAAGAAGAAAATGAATAAGAGAAGGCAGTTCGGAATAAGCACTTGTCTTAGACCTCTTGAAATTAAAACTGTCTGAAAAAAAGTCAAACTGTTAAGTAAAAAAGAGAGGTCTCATATTATTTATAGCATTGAAAGCATCTCACAGCTAGATCATTAACTAACTTTGCACCACTCAAAACTCACAGTAATGAATAAATCATGCTTCTGTTAAAGGCTCATAATCTGAATACTATAGATAACCTTCATACAGAATAAACCAATCTTTCATTTAGCACTTTGACTACCAATCTCATAAACAAGCATGAAACCCTAAATGCAACAAATGAGAGAATGTGACAGACCAAGCTGCATATTAGAAATAAAATATTTTTGTTTTAAAAATATTAATCTAATATATAATAATCTGTTAGAACCACTTTTAATACTGTACACTTTTCAATTATGTACATCTTTAGAATAAAAATACAACCATATTCCCCATGTTTATTACTTATAATTTTTCAGTTAAATCTAATTAACACAATTAATGTACTTCTTGAGTTTTAAAATATATGCTGTGTGAAATGAGATATTAATTACGTAAATTCATTTTATTCAAAGTAGAAAAATCGGCTAAACCCAGTATGCAATCAGGCAATCACACACACACACACACACACACACACACACACACACACACACACACACACACACACACACACACGCTCGCTGTCTCTTCTTAAATTCACTTGCATTTCACCTTCCAGAACTTGATAAAATATGAGAAAACGGATTTTTATTCTGATTTTGGACTTTCCACTAGTAAATCATTTCTAGGTATCTTTTGTGAAATAAGCTAAGCTCTACTAGGGCAATATAACAAATACATGCGTAAAGTTAGGAATTGAGACCTCTATTACCAAACCTGCTGAAATCTATAACTAAAGAGATGCTGTTGCAAAGACTCTTTAAACCTGTGGTAAATTTGCCAACATCAAGTCCCACATCAAAAGATGAATTCAGGAAGACAGAAAGAATGATACAGAAATACCAAGAGACTTGCAAGGATTTACAAATACTTCATATAAACAAATTTTCAAATAGCTTTATTCAGAGTAGCCTTTCTGCTCTATTAAACACAGCAAACAGCTGCCAGATTTATTCAGACAAATAATCAACAACCACAGAAGTAAAATGGCAGAAGAAAAAGGAATTTTGGCAACAACTCCACAGAGAACCATGGCTATTCTCCAAGTGCACCTCTCTCATGCACTGCGGTTCTGTATGGCTAGTCAGCGAAAAATCCCTCAGTCACAGCAGAGCACAAAACATTTGATCGAAATATCAAGTATTTTTAACAAAAACTGAGGGAGAGAAAGGGTATATGATAACCTGCTGCTTTAGATATACTTCAGCTGCACTTTTCAAAAAAGAATATCCCCTTAACAGTAAGTGTGCCAAAGCCTTATTCACCTTGGTTTGATGCCACTCACCTTGGTTTGCTGAGCAGATGTAAAGCAGAGAGGCAGGCTTTAGCCAGCAAAGGGTAAGAATAGCAAACACAAGAATCAATTCAATTTGTCAGTAGAAAAATAAAATCACAAAGATAATTTTCTTCTATAGTAATACTCAACTTCCAAGAAAAGCAAATGCAAAGATAGATGCAGTAATTCTTTTTAATCACTTAAAAATAAGGTCTGAGAAAAAACTATTACTATTAATTATAGACTTTTATGAAATTTTCTTTGTGGGATTTCTTCTACAGCAGATCTTTTTGACACTGCGGATCACAAAGAATTAGAGTTTTAAAAAACCCCAAAAAACAAAACAAAAAAACAACATTCAGCATTACAATAAGGGTATACCAGGAAGAATGTCCTTCTTAGATGCAAATATTTGTCTGTTTCTAGTATCTTCTGGAAGCTTCGTGGATGTGATTTAATGACCACAAAATGAAAAAAATCTTTGTTTGATAACACCTTCCAGCAAAAAAAAAAAAAGCTTAGAGTCACATGAAGTTTTGAAAATTGCTGGCTATAGCATTAAAATATGCCTGGTTTTATAACTGTTATCCTTAATTAAACATGTTAAATTAAAACTAGAGCTATTTCCCTTTATTCATATACACACACCAAAACACCCACTTTTATTAGAAGGCATACTTGACTCTGGGCCAAGTACAGGATATCAATATTTGCATTCTGTTTGAATTTTAGGTACATATTTTTTTAATGTTTCCGTTCTGATATATTCTACAACACAACATTTCTTTAATATAGAATTAGGTCAAAATAAGATAGTGGTAGGCCTGTGTTTATTAATGCTATGATTAGGACTTTATTTTGAAGGGTAAGGTACTCTAGTGTGTGCAGGAAAAAATACATTAGTAGGACACGAAAAAATTCTATAATGAAAAAATACAGAAACATAACATTTATAGTGGTAGGACACTGGTAAGTCCCCAATTCCTGGCTCTTTCACTAATACAAAAGACATTAGCATAACATCAGATTGACAAGCCACATTCTCAAAATTGAAAATTTCTTTAAGAATTAACTTATTACATTAAAGACACATTAATCAATTTTCAAGTATTCCAGGAATGTAGATAAACATACGTTTTAAAGATTATTTTGTAAGTTCAAAGCATTAACAAAAGGAAGATTGTGCACTGGTATCTGTTAATAACTCTCTATGTATGATAAGATAATTTGTTTTAGAGACTGATCAGAAGAACGAGCACATTATTCGGTATTTAAGTGTACAGTCAACTATAGCAATCTCTCACCTTGTTCTTTCTTAAAATCTTTCTCTGACATGGCCACAGGTAAAAGCAGTTCTCCAACAGGTGGCTGAATATTAACATTGAAGCAATCATCCTTGGTACTGAAGAAAAAGCAATCGACACTAAATGCTTAGTAAACATCCTTAATACTATGCAATTAAATAGATGCAATCAAAGTATATGCCAGCATATAAAGTATACAATCTTTATGGCTTAAAATATCATAGCTAAAAAGGTTCGAATTTTTCTCAATCGTTATTTACAGAAAAATACATTTGTTATCTCACTCAGATTTTTTTTAAACAAAACTACACAGTTATAGTCATTTATACCATTTGATATAGAACTTAAAAAAAAATAGCAGCAAAGTTACAGAACCATTATCACTAGAGGAACACTTCATGAAGCCTGTAGAAGATAAAGTGCTTTAGTCCTTAATAGTTAAAATCCCTTTTTAAAAACTTAGATTGGTTTTCAATAAAGAATAAAATGAAGTGACTATACTGTGTTTAGATATGTGCTAATAAAGTAACATCTCATCTGCAAACTTGCTTTCTTAAAAAAAGTATCAAGTAGAAAAACTATACTGAGTGCATTTATTTCACTTAAACTTCAGAACATTATTATCAATAAAAAATTACTAAAACTGCTTAAAACTTTTTTCAAGTTATGTTTCTGAGTCTATCAGGAGTGTGTGTGGCTACAAATAAGCAGGAAGCCCAATTAACACTATCTTTGAGACATATTTATTCTTTTAATACAATAAGTCTTAGAGTTAACAGTCAAAAGCTCATTAAGTGGCTTAAAGAAGCCTTCAGATCTCTCTAGCTTCCACTCTGCCACCCACAGGCTGCTGGCCTTCATCCGCACCATTGCCAGATGGCTGCTCATCTCCAGGTCCCATTTTTACACTCCAGCTGAAGGAAGAGTAATGATGAAAGAGTGCTGAATAACTGAGCCAACAAAATTCATCCCTTTTTATCAGGAAAGCAAAAAGAGGGACTTCTACTTGCATGTTAGAAATGGATCCCATGGCCTGTGGGAAGGTGGTTAGAGAAATGAAGAGTATGGATAAGAAATACCAACTACAGACTAAAAAGCACTTAAATTTATTCAGGTGTGGGGTAGGGACAAATAAGATAATATGAAAACAAGAACATAAAATCCACTTTTATGCTATTATATATTCTTGTAAGTTGCCTTATATGTTTTCATATGTGGATTGTTCAAGGTAAACCAATATATCCAATTTATTTATTAATTCAATAAACATTTACTGAATACAAACTTAATCCTTTGTATTGCGTGAGTATCTGGGGATTTAAAGCCAAGTGAGATTGGCCCTTGAAACTAGTTGGAGGGAAAGAAATTAAATTTATAATGGGATGGGAGGCACTACTACCTCAATGTGGAAAGCACTATAGTCCATGGAAAAGGAACTGATTTGTTCTGCAGGGGTGACGTGAAGGCAAGTTTATTTCCAAAGAGACAGAGGGTGGCCTAGTCCTGTGTTTTTGGAATGATGAGCAGCCTAGTGTGTCAACAAGTGAGGCCAGGAGCACCCTGTAAAGATGATCGTATTGAGTATGACTACTCATCTCAGTTCTCCTGGGACAGTCCCAGTTTATGGTTGTTGTCCTGGAATCCTCTCTCTCTCAGAGGTGTCCTGATTTGCATAATAGAGTTAGACAAAGGTGTTTCGATGTTTCTTAAAGCAAGAGTTCCAAAACAGAAAGTAAAGGATCCTATCTGTGTTTCAGAAGCTCTGGGGGCAGTGTATAAGGGGAACAGAAGAGAAACCAGAGACAGGCGGATAAGTTAGGAGTCTAATTTAATAGTCTAGACATGGGCTTTTACAATTTACTGTGTGTTTTACTTTAGTAAATCCTCACAAGGTCCTAAGAGGTAGCTTCTGTTACCCCAAATATAAGAAAACTGAAGAGAAGGGGAACAATATGCCCAAGGTCATACAGCTAGTACGTAGCAGTGATGGGTCTTGAAACCAGGTGTATCTGACTCCAAAGTTCACATTTATTCCACTTATACTCTTCAGCTTCCCTAGGGTACACAGTACTTAGGAAGGGGAAGACGGAATATTTTATAGACACACTGGACTAGAAGAGGTAGACCTGGTGATGGATGGAAGGAACTTTGTGCTTTCTTTTTTTTTTTGAGTTGGAGTCTCACTCTGTCGCCCAGACTGGAATGCAGTGGCCGCTACTGGCCATCGCAGCCTCGACCTGCTGGGCTCCCGCAATCCTTCCGCCTCAGCCTTCCGAGTAGCCAGAATTACAGGCACGCGCTACCACGCCCGGCTGATTTTTTGATTTATTGTAGAGATGAGGTCTCGCTGCCCGGGCGGGTCTCGAACCCGCGGGCTCAGGCAATTCACTCACCTCAGCCTCCCAAAGGCGCGGGATTACAGTTGAGCCACCAAGCCTGGCTGTGCTTTCTAGTGTGAACAATTGGGTGGGTAACAACATATTGAAGGAGTATGGGGACTTAGAATGATTTGGCTTTACTGATGTTATATTTTGAGTACTGACTTACCCAGGAAGAGATATTCAGTAGATAATTAGATATACAAGTCAAGAATTAGGACAGAGATTAGCTGGGTACAGTGACGCACACATGCAGTCGCAGCTACTTGGGAGGCTGAGGCAGGAGAACTGCTTGAGCCTGGGAGTTCAAGGCCACAGTGAGGGCTCTACTGTACTCCAGCCTGGTCAACAGAGCAAGACGCTGTCTCTAAAATAATAATAATTTAAAAGCAAAGAATCAGGAGAGAGGAGAGGGCAGTACATATGAGTTTGGAAGTAAGAATGGTACAGGACAGAGCCTCACAAGTGTGTACAATCCCATAGGAAAAGAGGATACCAAGAAAAAGGATAAAGAATGAACCTGAAGAAGCCCTGCCTGCATTTAAGTAAAAACAGAAGGCAAGCAACTTGCAGAAGAGACAGGGAAAGAGTGGTCAGGAAGAAAAGGTGTGGGCTAAACACTGTAGGGAGGAAAAGTAAGACGAGGAACAAGAGGCAGCAAATATACTCCTGACCTTAGCATGGCAGCTAGGAAGACTACAGAAGGCATCACGATGAAGGGTGAAGGGAAGACAGGCAGAGGAAGAAGGAGCAGAAAGCAGAGGTTTCATGGGATGAAGAGGCAAAAGGAGAATGCATGAAGACACTGAACACGTGTGAAGACTGGGGAAAGAGTTAGCGAAGAGGAGGAAACAAGGGAGTAACTTTCAGAGCAAGGTCCTAGGAGGGGTCAAAGAGGGCAGGATTAAGAGCAAGAACCAGGTGATGGGCTAGTCCTGGAATGGAGTAGGAACAGCACAGGAGTGGTTAAGAGAGAGGGAGGTACTGAGGGCAGGGTACTTGAGAGACAAGTCTGATGCAGTGGAAGATGAGGTCACATGGAAGGCTCATGAAGGACTACATGAAAATGTCTATATGTGTACACAAACTATATATATAAACTATGACCTAATTATGTAAAATTTCAGCTTCAAGTCGAGGGCTACAAAGTTCTCCAAAGTGGGAGGTAAAAGACCATCCACTGAGGTATAGGCAAAAACCCATAATTATGTTTATTTGTTCTCATTCCTTTTCAAGTTCTGTTTTTGTCCACTGAGACACATTCATACACACATACACATAATTTAAAAATAAACTCATAAATATAGAAAGTGTATACTCAAAATATTTTTACTAATAGAGGCACACAATTTTAAAAGTTAGGGGAACACTGGGCTAAATTATATGCACTATATTTTTAACGACTTATTTTTTCTTTTTAATAAAAACCCTTCTGTTTCCCAACACTCCTGAAGGACACTACATACTCCCTTGATTGGCAGCACTGATGCCAAGGGAGAAAGTTGGAGAGTGTAGAAACAGAAGGGGCAGGAGATCTGCCTGCTAAGGCAGCTATGCAAGTCTAGGCAGGTGAGCAGCAGGTGGGAGTTTGGGTAGGGGGTGGGGGAGGGAGGAAGGTGATCCTAAAATGTCCCCACTAGCAAGCAGCAAGCAATGTGTGAGAAAGTAATTATGATTCAACTTGACTGGATGCTTTTACTTTTATTGCTTTTTGGTTAATGCTTGTTTTATCTTCTGTACTGGTGTAATGGTTAACATGTAGTCGTGGATGAAAAACCAAGGGTTTCAACTCATCCCCAATGGGTCTTCTGAGGCAAATTAGGGAACACTGCTGTTGGAGATGCTGCCCAATGCATACTTAATACCTATTTTCTCTCTGTTTCTTGACATAATCCTGACTTTGTTTAGGAAGACAATGTGCCCAACTGAAAACATATTTCTCAGCCTCTCTTGTAGCTAGGAGTGAACAAGTGACCCAGTTATGACCAGTGAATTGTAAACAGAAGTTCACTGAGGATTTCTGAGAAAGCTTTGCATTTCTGACATAAACATGATTCCTCTCTCCGCGTCACTTACTTCCTTTTTTAGCTGGAATGCAGACAGAAAGTAGAAGAGCCATCTTGTGACCATAAGGATGACAGCACATGCTAATAAGATTAGCACACAAGGCAGAAGGGTGGAAAACCTTAAACCCTGAAGACATTGCCAAGCCAATGCACCAGTTCTGAACTGCTGACCTCTGTAATTCTCGTTCTAGGAGAATAATAAATCCCTATTTGCTTATAACACTACAACTGAGTTTCTGTTACACATAGCCAAATGCAAAATCCAATATAACTAATACATAAAGTGCTTTATAAGCACTTCCATCTTCTAAGCAAGGTGTGGCTTATAATGGAGTTAAGATGGAATGTTTCCTCTTTGGGGGAAACTTTACTCTCATTTACATGAGTATTCTAGGATGTCCTCCAGTTTACTACGTACCTCCTTTCTACTATTTTGCCTTCTTTTCTGTTCGTTTCCCTCTCCTTATAGCTTTTCTTTTCCTTTTTCTTCATATCTCCTCTGGTCAGACATGGAGGGAAATAGATATAACCCATTTCTACACACAGATATCTCAACATGGAAAAAAGATGGCGAAACGGACTGATGGCAGATGTAAGTTTTTCAGAATTAACAATTACCAGATTGATGAAGTACTATTAGTAGGGCAGTTTTAA